CTTGCGTACCCATGTGCTGCGCGCGGGCTTGAGGCCCCACATCCCTAACCCCCCCTGATCCTCCCCAAACAAAACCCTCAGGGGGGGGGTCTGGCGGGAAAACCATACCCTACCCCACCGAACTCCTCCAAAAATCTCCTCTGACGGGAGGTTCTGGGTGGTAGACCCTCTAACCCCAAGACCCACCTGATGGGGGGGATCTGGAAGGAAAACCACCTGACCCCCCCTCACCTCTCCAGAAGCCCTCCCAAGGGGAAAACCCCTTAGCCCCGCCGCCCAAAAAGAAACCTTCAGAGGGGGTCCAGGGAAACAAAAAGCCCTAACCCCTCCTTGCCGCTCGGGGGGTCTGGCGAAAAGAAAAAACGCCCCCCCCCCTATCCTTTACAGGAATACCCCTGAGAGAAGGGTGCGGGAAAACAAAACCTCTAACCCAATGCAACTAACCCTCCCAAGAGCCTTCCCTGAAGGGGAGGTCTGGGGGAAATCCCAATAATCCCCTCCTACCCCTCTCCCAAAAGACCCCCTCTGAGGGGTGCTCTGGGAGAAACTTCCCTAACCCTCCCCGCAACTCCTCCATTAGTTCCTCCAAAACCCTCCCCTGCTGGAGTGGTTCGGGGGGAGGATCCTCAGCCTAACCCCCCCTGAGGGGGGGAGGTCCACGGGAAAAACACCCCTAACTCCCCCCTGAGGAGGCTTGGGGAGGTTTTCCAGAGGGGGTTATGGGAACTGCCACGCCCTACTGCATCTCTGTAAGTGCTTGCCCCAAACCGTCGCCACCAAGCTTGGATCACATATGACGCCTCATGGCACAACTCGTGTCGAGGTCTTGACTGGCCATTGAAAATGTCACGCGACGAGGGTCGCCATAAGACGGGTTCAGCTGATCTGCTGGCAAAAATGTTAAATCAGAATTAGCATCGTCTGCTAAGTAACTTTAGTGCTAACAGCCTGCGGCACAAAGCTAAAAGCAGTTGCACTCAGAGGAGATGGCGTTATGACCCCAAAGCTCGCCTGCACCACACCTGCGGTGACATTAGCTTGCTCGTGAAGTGCATCGGAAATGGCACCGGGTGTCATGCCAGTCTCGCAGTATGTGTAAATACGCTGGTGAAAAGATGTAGGGCTGCCGTATCCACAGAGTATTCACAACAATGACCACATATTCAACTCCAAGGCAACGAATTCTACCAACGCATCATTATTTCTAGCAGTTTGCACCAGAGAGGTGACTCGTCCAGAAGTGGCTCCATTTCGCATCAACTGGATCGTTGGAACATTTACACAATACCGATTGCTGCAAGACTTCGCTGTGAATATTCGAATGCTGAGTTGCCACCCGATCGTCTCTCAACTTACGGCGCTTAGATCGTACCGTAAACAACATCTGTCTCCCACTCCGCCTCACAAGGTAGACTCGCACATTGAAGACAACACGAGGTCCTAGTCCTCCTCCTTCGCCACCTACTCCCTTTCTCGACGACAACACTCAGGGCGCCAGCGACAACGACAACGACGGCGACAACGCCCGAGGCACCGACGACGACGACAACGACGACGACCGACGACGACGATCGGCCACGACGAATCGACCACGACGACGGATGACGACACCCGGGCGCCGACGACTCCGACCACGACGACGGTCGACGACAGAACAGAGTTCGACAGAGACGACCAGAACGACGATGAATGACGGACCACGACCACGACAATGAACGATCGACGCCGAAGCCGACGCCGACGACGACGACGACGACGACGACGACGATCACGGCGACGACGACGACGACGACGACGACGACGACGACGACGACGACGACGACGACGACGACGACGACGACGACGACGGCGGCGGCGGCGGCGGCGGCGGCGGCGGCGGCGGCGGCGGCGGCGGCGGCGGCGGCGACGGACGACGATCGACGATTGACCACGACGATCCAAGACGTCACGACGACGATCGCTGATCGACGGTGGCGCCCGACGATCGACGGCTGAAGGCCGACCGACGACGACCTGCCCCTCCTCGTCCGCGGCGCCCGGCGCCAGCGCGGCCGTGGCCAGGCGCGTGGCCTCGTCGAGGCGGCGCCGCAGCTCCCCCTCGCGGGGCTCCGCGCCGTCGCCTGGCGGCCAGGGGGCCTCGACGGCCTCGAGGGCCTCGAGCGCCTCGAGGCCCTCGAGGGCTTCGAGGGCGTCGAGACTTCGAGGGCTTGGACCGCTTCGAGGTGTCGCGAGTGCGAGGCGTCCAGGCTCAAGGGTTCGTGCGCTCGAGAGCTCGAGGGTTCGACGATCGAGGCTCGAGGCTCGAGGCGCAAGGAGCAAGAGATCCGGGGTCCGAGGCTTCGAGGGTGGAGGTTCGGGGGTCGAGGCTCGAGGATCGATGGTCGAGGGTCGAGGAGCCAGGAGCGATGGTCGAGGATCGAGGATCGAGGACAAATGCTCTTGTTAGTTTTTGACTATTGTTGACCCGTGGCTCCTTGCTCGGCCACTCTGGAGGACTGCA